ACAGGACTCTTCTAAGCTTCAGTGATTTTCTTTTGTTTAACTACTTCTCTGAAACAAGATTACCTCTTGTTCAAAGAGTTTCTTTTCGTGTTAAAGCCAGCTTTAGTCAAAGCAATTACCTGAAATAGCTCTTGAAAATAAAATATCACTGTGCATACTTCATTGACACAACTTTTAAAAAGTGGAAATTATAACTGGCTTGAATAAGGACTATATTGATAATAACACAAGTCGTAATGTGTTGAAAGGAAAGATATATATTACATGTATTAAACCCTAGTGGGATAGCAAATAACTAATACCCTTCCTTGAAATAAGAAAGAATCAGTGCTGCTGTGTTGCTTCTGGAAATTTTATCACAGGTTGGTTTGGCCAGCCAGGTGTGCCTGCTGGAGGGAGGGAATGCTTTGGGGCAGCCTGCATGGGACTGCATCTTTCCCTGTGCTGTTCTCTTTCCCACTGAGTCTCTTGATCTGCTGCCCCTCAAAATATTGGTGGTGTATCTCCACCTATTGTATCACCAATTGAAGGTCAGACTTTAAAATTATTTCTGTATATGTAGCTGAGACAGACCAGCTCTGGCAACTAGTGCTGGCCTCAGAAAGTAGAGTATTGGCCAAGCTGCAAGCAATATCAAGATAGCTGACCTTTTAAAAAAAAAAAACCCAAACACAAAACCAAGCATGGAAGAAAATAGTTAATGCCCAGGATGTGGGATCATGGCATCGGCCTTTTTCTGTGAAAAGGGGACAAAGTCTGATAACAGTGCAGCAACCTTGGCTCAAGTGGGACATGACAGCTATGTTCGAAGCAATGCAAGAGCAACACAGGCACCTGGTACATGAGAGAAAGCAAAACCAGTCGCAGTTCAGAAGTAGAAGGAGACAGTCTGCATTCAGGCAGGTGCATGCTTACTTCTGACAAGGCCTCTGACAGCTGACAATTTCATTTTTGCTCCCACAAAATGGCTATCCCTCTTACAGGGGAAGGCTATAGGACCTGGTCAAGCAATTGGAGAAGATGGGGAGTACTGTTGTTGTTCTAATGTAAGCTTGCCAGTACTTCTTCAGTAGTTGAAGAAACCTGGTTGGATCTATTGCATTATTAACTGTTTCTTTCACATGAATCCCTAAAGTCTTGTCACAAACATTAGTCTTTCAGTAGGAATGGCTCTTGAATTTAAAAAAAATGCCTAAGGAGAAACAGCTGCATGCAAGTTGCAGTCCTGTGTGTTCTGCAAGAGGAAACTGAAACTCTCCTGAAGCTGAAAACAAATGTGCAGCCTAACTGTGGATACTTAAATCGCAGCTGATCCTTCTGTAAAGAGGCTCTTCTGTGGCATTGGGGCTTACAGTAGAAAGGGGGATATTTACAACAACATTGTACACAGCTCTTTAACCCAGCAGGCTGCCACTTCTAACAGAAAATTGGTTTTTTGCCAATGCATTCATGGTACATAGGTAGACATAGAGAAAGGAACGGCAGAGTAAACAACTTGCATTTCAAATAAGCCAGAAGAGTAGCACACCTATAAGGAAACAGATGGCTTTCTGTATGCTTATATCTTCTGGAATTATGAAATTACTTGAGTGACTTCTGATGTTATCTTTTTATGTGCAAGTGATTTGTTTTAGAATTACTTTAATTTAATGTGAAGTTGCTTTTCATTCTGGCATGGACATCATCCAGGTAATGCTTGCAAGCCCTAGTCTTTTAGATCCTAGTTGGACTTTGGACAACAGAGCATAGATGGCATGATAATGGAGAGCTGTCGATGATGATTCTTGCTGACACCGTTCGTTTATCTGTGTCCTTTACAATGCCAACTGATGCGCCTGGCACATTAGGTGTATAGCAGATGCTTTATTTTAGACAGCTTGCTCTGCTAGAAGGGTGACCATGATTATAAAGCTTTCACTCTTTTCTGAGTGTATTAAGTCTATTGAAAAGATGAGCAGAAAAGCTCAGACTTTCCACTCGTGTTCCTGAATTTTATTTAGTTAAAAGTGAAAAGATTACTTAACATTTGTAAATAGGATACTAATGTAAAGAAAAGTGGGTTGTGACTTTTTATGAAATCCCAAGTGACTTTGCAGTTATTCAGTTCAGGTTTATCTAAAACAACCGGATTTTTCCTTAATGTTTTTGTATCACTTAAATACTGCTAAAATAATATTGTCAGCTGTTAATTTTTCATTGGGACATACCGAATCCACCTTGTCAGGAATAACATGCTGTATGCATTTGAGTGGTGTTTGTTGGTCTATATCTGGAAAGCTTTTATCTCCTAATATCTTGTTTCCTAATCCTGTTGCTCTATCAGTAATGTTTCATAGCTCTGTCCACAGCTGAAAGAGACTTTGATCTCTACCGTGGTAGAAAATTGTGTACTATTTTTCCCACAGATGAGGTTTCTGTTATCTCTTACTACTTCCCCTGTCAGGTTTTTAAGCTAAAAAATTTAAAGCTGTACAAATTTAAAGGAGCGTGCATAAATTTTTATAAAACTGAACTACAGAACAGAATTTTCAGAATGCCGCCTCCCTTTTCAAGGCGCCCTTTGCCTTTTATCGCCTTTATGATTTTTTCATTCTAATAGCCCATTACCCTATTTTTGTGGCCATTTTTATTTTTACTTGGTATTTTAGTTTTGAGCACGATTGTACTGAAGCAAACTATATAATCCAGAGGTTACTGCTCTTCATCCCATGTATTTGAAGTAAATTTATGTTGGCCATAGCGTCTACTTTCAGACTTAATTTTGGCAGTTTGAGGAGATTCTGTGGAATTGTGGCCATTTGTTGAATGGTATTTTCCGAAGGATGTATCACACCTGAGATTCTTGAATCTGATTTCACGGGAGAAAGATGGGACTTTCAGCTATCAAGGCTTGAGAAACTGCCTGTCACAGTTTACTGGTGCTTTCCCCCTCCTGCTTTTTTAAGTAGAAATGTTCTGAACAAGGAGGGAAGTGTGCATTAAACAGTAAACTGCTTTTATCTTAACAGAGGACATTGAGGTTGGTTGCACATGTGCTGTGCTATGGTTCTAGCACACTTTCAAACAGGACTACGATTCCTTTAAAAAAATGTACTCTTCTCTTAAATTTAAGACTACGAAAAGAAGCTACAAAAGCGCAGTCGGTGTGCAAGTGTGCTCCTATGACCGTTGCTGTTCATGATGGCTGTCACCAGTGCTCCTGAAGGATGAGTGTGGATCAATGCTAGCTAGCAATTTCCAAAGGGATTCAAGCAATAACATCAGTGCAATGGAAGAAAATACTCTATAAAATTCTGCCTCAGGCATCTATATTTCAGATTTTCCCTGATCTCTGTATAAAGCAAAAGCAGAAATACAAAAATACAACAAGTAGCCCTCCATTTCTGAAATGTCTAATACAGCCTTGGGAAAGAATCGTGAGAAGGATGTGCTTAGATCTGGCTGCCCAGCCTCCTGCCAGGGGAACAGGGAGAGGTACTTCTTGTCCAAATTAAGAGGTGCAGCGACTTCCTGCACGGCTGCCACAACTTCGATTCATCTGCACTAGTTTCCTTCAGGCAAGCAAAAAATTTTCTTTCTTGTTTCAGAAAAGATCCTTTAGCTATTTGAATCTCCTTTGTTACAGGTTTTTAACCTGAGCCATGTTAAGCTGAGAATGCTTAGGAAGATCTTCCCTTTTGTTTCAGGCTGATACATTAAACTGGATTTTTTTTTTTTTTTTTTTTTTTTTTTTTGTGGTAGACCTTGTGCTGAAATCCACAGTCTGTGCTGAAGAACTCACTTCTTTAAAAGGAAAGTTGTATGGGACACTTCATTCAAATTGCTCTTAGGATCTGTAATGTTTTCAGAGCTATTATGCAAATAAAAATTTTGTTTATGTCTTGAAAAAGTCACTGTTTATCCCAACCATTTTTAGTAGCCAAAGATTCTTATACTCTTGGCGCTTGAAAGGGTAAATATATTTGTATTATAAGTTACTGTTGGCTCTAAATTTGTAAAATCCTTTAATGATATGACCAGTGTATCAGACTAAACTGCGTGTTTCCAGTTGTGTAAACAGAAATGTCTTCTACCAGTTTCAGCTGCTGTACTGTGGAGTTACCTTCTGCATTGCATTTGTGCCTTTTGTACATAGCTCTGTGTGGGTTTGGCTTGTTCCGGGATACATTACAGCATCAGAAAGGACAAAAGAAGAGCTTGGCGTACTATTGAATTCAGACATCTGGCATTTGCCACTTCTGTTACTCTCCCTTTATGCCATCAATACCTGTTTAGCTGACAACTTGAGTGCGTTGTGTTTGCAAACCTGTTTGTTTCTCTCTGAATTTGAACGGACTTCCTTGTAGACAAAATGTGTGTATGTAAAAAGCTGGTGTTGACTGCTGGGATATTACAAGATCAGCTTTTAATATCATCATTTTCTACAGTAGCCTGCACATGGCAGATAACTCTGAAATACTGTTTTCACAACTGCCTTTGTTTAGTTATACTTCCACTGCAGTGATATTTATGACTGTGTTAGAAAGAAAAAAAAGTTACACTCCCCAGAATGACTGATAAACAGCTGTTTTGTAAATGCCTATAGTATATGAACCATGTTCTAATGTTTTTCAGCCTCTAGGCAGGTATTGATTCAAATGTAAATTCATTGTTCTAGCTGCACTAGAGTTAAAAATAGCTTGTCTTAGTGAGCCTAATTCTCAGGCATATAGTCACAGCTTTCAGTGTGCGAGACGGGTTTTTTTTTAAGACTTTTCATAAGAATGCAGTTAGCTTTAGGCTTTATTAACGAGAGGATAGCGGTTTCCTAGTGCATAATGGTTAAGTAATTCAGCAAAACTTCGAGATAGTTTTTTTTCTTTTTTTGCCTGTTTGAACAAACTGCCATCTGTGTAAATGTATTTCCCATTTCAGTTGCAGATCGTCTGGGCTGTGACCCTCGAACACGTTTCCAAGTTCCACCAAACACCAAGCAGTGGATTGCTTTACTGCAGCGAGGAAACTGTACATTTAGGGAGAAAATACTGCGAGCAGCTTCACATAATGCCACAGCTGTGGTCATCTACAACAATATATCCAGTGAAGAACCTGTCACGATGACTCATCAAGGTAAATAAAATGGAATCTCTTTCGCTATAATTATTTTTTGCCCGAGTACTCTTTTGCCATATAAACTATTGCTAAAGAGCCCTTGGCAATGCACAGATGATGCTATGTGAAATAGCCTGTTCTCTAATGATGTTTACATGTATGCAATATAGCGAAATAAGCCAGTAATTCTGAAGTTATTTTTCCTTTAGCATACATTTTATCCAATGAGGAACACTTTCCTCTGCAGTGGGGATATGGGAGTTTTGGAGCGAGTAAAAGATCTTAGGAGTAATCTATTTCAAACCTTGCTGCAGAAGAAAAGCTAATATGTAATGGAAGGTCTAGAATTTTACAAAGCATCTGTACTTGAAGAATTTTTATAGTAGCATGTCTTCAGCTGGCTGTTATGGTGGGGACTTTCCAATGTTAACAGTTACATCAGGATCTGAGCTTGCATGCTCTTTTTAATGAGTTTACAGAGGGTTCTCTTTCTGCTGTGTGTCTTCAACTGCTTTACAGGAATCGGCAAAATTTAGTGATTCAGGGAGCAGTTGCCTCTGTAAGTTGTCTAGAATTAGACTATCGCTGATCTAGAGTAATGATGAAATTCTGGATTTCTACTTTTTCAGGGTTATCTAAAAAATTTTTCCATTAACTAGTGAGTTACTTTAACTGGTGGGAGCCTCATACATAAAAATTTATCTTGGTTAAAAATTATTTTCACAATTCTGATAACTGCATTTTTCATTTTCCCAGAAGGTTTTCTCAATTTGGGGTTATTTAGCTTAATCAGAAAAGGCATATTTCTGTATTTGATGGCTGTACTGCTGGCTGATTTCCCCCACACACCCCAAATATTTTTGGTCCTTTTTCTTTAAGCATAGGGGGTTGCTTAGAAACTGGAACTTCCTAATTACTGCTCTGCATATTGTCACACAATTAGAATTGAATTCTTTTGCTCAAGTGCTATGGTTGCTTCTTTCTTTCTTTTTGCACAAGGGAAATGTCTTGTGGCTTCTTTTGGTTTAGTGGGGTTTGGCCTTCCCAATTCTATAAACCACAGGAGTTTTCCAGGGAGATTTTGACCTCTGCATAGCAATTCAAAGCCTGTTGACAATCCATTTTTACCTTGGGTACCTTAGGCATTTTTGCAAGTAATCTGCAGGCAGAAAGTCCCATATTCTAGTGAAACCTTTTTTTACCGCCTTCCTTTTGTGGTTTTTTTTTTTTTTTTCCACTCCTAAACCTTCAGCTCTTGTCTCTCTTTGAAATACCTGTAAGATTGAAAATCTGCAGTCTCTGTTTAGCAATGATTTGTGACTCCTCCTGTGGCCTGGAATACCTTACCGTGGCAGAGAAAAAGAGACTACCCATAACTACAGCTCTAGTATTGTTTGCTCTATTACATGCTACATCATATAATGGGTTTCATTATAACTTTAATACCTTCTTTCTCATAATGATGTTACACTTGGCAGGTGCTTTCATAGCAAAGGGATGGTGCCTGTCTTTTTTTTTTTTTTTTTTGTTAGGAAATCCTAGTTCACTTAGTGTTGCATCTCTGAAGACCAGCGCGTTGCCTTTGAAACTATATCAATAGGTCCAGTGGTTCTGGTAGGTTGAAATAATGTCTTGAGTTATAAAATTTGAGAGCTGCTGAGGGTAAAACAGCGTCTTGTAAACTAGCCAGGAAACTGTTTGGGTAGTTGATATTTGGAAAAAAGCTAATACTGTCTTCAGCCTGTTGACTTCCAAATATTTACTCTTACTCATGGCAAGCTTTAAAAAAATGTAATTACTGGAGATGATGCATATTTTATCTCTGAGTATTTGAGATACCCGTTTTTAGCTGCATGTACTCAGTCCCTGGTATACTGGAATCTCTGTCACTGATTTGGGCTGTAGGCACTATCTCAAAATTAATATTGGACTTGAAGCATTCAAACTATGCAACAGGCTAAAAGTAATTCTCTAGAACTGAAGTACCACCTTAGCACCACACCATAAGGGAGAGGAAAGTCGCTCCACAGCTTTTGTTTTGATTGCATTATGGTCATGTAAGGGATCTCCTTAGCAATCTGCCTTTGCAGAGCTTCCTATAAATAACTTCCTGTTTGCTTGATGTAAGAACTGCAAGGGTGCGTAACTGAGATGTAGACTGGTCCTTTGGCATTAGCTGCAGCACAGAGAGGGTTTGGGATCCAGTGTTCCCCTCAGTGAGAATTATCCCAAGTGGGATATAGATTCATGAACCTGTACTAACGTGGTGAGCCAATTCAAACAAATGTGTCTAAAGCAGTCTTTCACACAGCCAAGGCACACTCTGGTCTTTTTTCTGCCTTTTCAACCATATGACTGCTTAACTAATCTGTTAATTAGATATTTTGGTGTGCTACATCTCTTCTCTTTAGTATTTTCTATCCCTAAAGGTCAGGAGGAGTTGACCCTGTGTATTTGATAGCTGTTCTGCTGCTGATTCCATTAAGTATGTGTTATATAGACTTGATATAAAGTGAAAATGAAGGTGAGCCACCAACTTGGTCTTATTTCCATATGATGTCTAGGGCTGTGCAGCAGTCCTCTATTCTTTTAAAAATGCATTCTTCACAAGACAATTTTGCAACTGTATTATGATGACTGGGTTCATGGCTCTGTTTTCTTTCCATAGAGAGGTGAAAATAGACCTTGTGTCACTTTATATCACTGTAACATAATTTTTATGCTGCTGCGTACCGAACTGTAGGAATATTCTGTCTTCCTGGTGAAGCAGAGAGGAAGGTGGCAACCGCTGATAATGTACACTCTGTGAACTGCATGCTTTCCTACTTTGATATTTGCAAGAATTCCAATCACCAGCTTAAACAAGGTCTGTGCTAAAAATAAGTAAAATATTATATAGATTTATGTGTGTTGCCCACCTGCAGAGAGGTGATTCCCTATGAAAAGAGTTCAGTAAGCAGTTCTCACCTATGGGATTAATATTTTATCCAAGTTATTTTATGCTTGGGCACACATTTGAAAATTTTAATCTTGGGGAAATTTGCTCGTACTCAACATATTAGCAAAATATAAATTCCTTCTGGGAGCTAGACAACACCTGTCACTCTTAAATCCGTCTATCGTCATCATGTCAAATAGACAGTTTCTATTGCTAATATCAGAATTTGCATTTTCTACTGTGATAGTCCACTAAGTCTCTGCCCCTTCAACTTCAAGTTGGGTTTTAAAGTAGGTATTGACCTTAAGGAGACGGTGAACTTTTTTAAAATAGACATATATATTTCTGTTATTTGCAACTTTTATTTTCTTTTCTCTGTGTATATCCTTGTATGTATTACTGTGTGCATGTAAAACTTACTTTATGCATTCTTGTAGATGTCCTTTATCGACCTAAGTGAAGGTCGTCTTTCCCAGCATAGGGTGTGTTAAACTATGATATCACTTGGCAGGAAGGCAGTTTTATGGGTGGTTTTGCTTGCTACTTCTGTTAAAGCAGAACAAATATCGTTTAATGTAAAAAAGAACCTATGTGGTAGAGAAAATATGTAGTAGTTGTCTCCTTTATAATCAATTATGGGAATAGGAAGGAAATGCAGGTAAGATAGCATTTTAATTCTTTTTTTTGTTTGTGTGTGGTGCAGGCAGTCCTGTCAAGTGAAATAGTTAACTTTTATATTGAACTTCTCTATTAAAATCTAGATTTTTACTTGGATTTATAGAAAATAATATAAGCCAAAGCAGCCTCTAAAGTTAAAATTTCATACTTGGAATTTATGGAACAAATATAAACAGTAAAATATAAACAAATATAGAAGAGAATGTCAAAATGAAGTTGCTGCATTCCAATAGCTGCTGTTCATCAGTGCTCAAGACATTTCCTGAAGTATTTAAATAAATCCTAATACAATAATTTTTTCAGAGGATTTACCTGATGCAGACCTTGCTTTAAGAGATTTACCTGGTGCAGGTAAATCTCTTAAAGTCTTTAGAACAAACTGCAGACCTCAGGATCAATCTTCATTGCACTTCTAAAGAAACAATGCATTTGTTGTCTTCAAGAAGGTGTTTCTGTTCAGCGATGTGCACAGATGACAACGCTCCCCTGCTGTAGTGCTGTGGGAGAGCTGCCCAACACCAAGCTCCCAGAACCAGTTTCCTTGCAAGGGGAGGATTTCTGGTGGCCCTATTTTTGCTTAAAATAAAAGCACGCTAGCACAGGAAGCAAGGTCTGTACTGGCTTTGAACTGTGATAAAACCGAGTGTATTTTATGCGGATTATTTTAGTTCACTGGGTCAGAGACAGGAGAGACAGGAAGGAATTTGAAGTTGTTGCCATCTAATGGCTATTCCCTGTTCTTACCCTAATTCGGAGTGGGTAGAGTAGACTGCGGAGATCCAGCAGTCAAAATGCCACTCTCCTCTGCTGTGGCACTCTCACTGCGTGCAACACATCTCTTCCTCTGCTGCTTGCCTTCTCACAAATGTCTCTTTATGTAACTATGAGCTGAACGGATGTGTGAAAGCTATGGCAGGGTGCGTTGCAAATTATCTTGCACAAATGTGTGCTGACGAATATTTTGGCTCTATACAAATCCACTGCAAGACTTTCCCTGGATTACTGGGACAGCTCCACAGCTGTCAGACCACAGTTCAAAACTGATTTTATTGTATATCACATTATTGTTATTATAACTTATTATTATTAATTTACCCTGGAATATTAGTGAAAAGGATGGCAAGATGAGTCATTAAAGTTGAAACTTTAAACAGACAAAACAATCAATAGTGTAACCATAGTTTACATATCTTTGACCATTTTATATTGTTCATTGTTTATATTTGCTAATTGAAAATGTGGGGAACAAGTGTCAACAGCATTATAGTTAAACCTGTTTCCCACTGCATTTCTTGGAGGTGTAGCCATCAGGAAAATCTGTCATATGGTAGATGGAGGTGGCTGACAAGATGTGGAGAGGAATGTGTTTGAAGCACAGATTCTGGACCATAAGGAAGCGCTT